CTGGGCCTCGAGGATGAGGTCGACGAGGCTGTGCAGGTAGTACTGGTGGAGAGGGGTAGGCGAACTCGAAGTGGACACAGCACTGGACAAAGCCGACGGGGAGCTCGAAGTGGGCACAGCACTGGAAGAAGCCAACAGGGAGCTTGAGTTCATTGCACTGATAGTCGACGAGCTCACATTCGAGGGAGTTGGAGAGGATGAAGTCACCCCCAATATCTGCACAAGCCAGCCCCCTTCCCACGTCGTGCTTGTGGTGCTGGTAGGCCGGGCCACATTAACCTCATCCTCCCAAACGCCAAGGAGTTCTCCGTTAAGAGCGCGACGAAGTCCATCCACTGCCATGAGGCTGCGAATACGGGCCGGAGGGTTCGGTGAACGGCTCCTGGATCTACTGGGTTGTAGAGGCGGCGGCAAGGAAGATGATGCAGATGCCAACGGGTCCGCGGCACCAGTCGGGGGCTCGGCCTCCGGTTCTCCACGATGGGCGACCTCCGCGACATCATCCAGCTCGGCGTCCTCAGCCGTCTCTGTGTTCCCTTCTGCAGGAGTCGGGGGCTCCTCTAGCGGCTCCGCCACCTCTTGACGAGTGCCAGCATTTTCCAACATCCCAAGGTCCTCCCTTGGTTGCAGACGGACGTCAAGGTTGTGCTGCAGCGTCAGGGCAAAGATGTCTCCAAAGTTCCTGACCCAATTGAACATCCGCCACTGGCCCATCTCTGCTCTGGGAGTTCGTACCACTGGCCACCGTCCACGAGGTCGGAGTCGACGAAGCATAACTTCAAGCACAGCACCAAGGGCTTCGAGGCCATCATCTGCTCGTCTCGTTAGCCTTGCAAGACCCCAACGTGCTTCGGGCCCCAACTCGAATGAGTCGTAATCCTCCAGTCGTTGGAAGAACTCCTCGAGCCTGTGGACCGCTCTCTCGGGCACGCCCATGTCACGTAGCATGGCCCCTTCGGCGTTAGTGAGCTGCATCCTCCAAACATCATCATCCTCGGGCTCAGCAAGGGCTGCCTCGTGGCCAACTTCATGGACTTCAGGGAAGAGACCGAAATTGGGCGGGGCCTCAAAGTTCCTCACGTCAGGTACAACAAGTTCATGCAAGTTCCCAGGCGGCGAAGTCGAGGAAGAGGTTGACCAACTCCACCCATCCCACCACGATGACGTAGGGCTCCACGCATCCCACCACCACTGATTGCTATCAGCGTGCCACTGTCCTGACCAAGGGTCCGGGTCAGTAAGCGTGTTCGGCTCGGAATTTGTTGGCCCTGCGACTGTGCATGGCTGCTCGGTTTCCTTGTGCGCAATCTCGTCCATCATCCCACTGTCCTGGCCCTTGTCCACGGAAAGACCGTCGGCCTTCTGCGCAGGCGCGTCTTGTTCGGCGGTGTTCTGAGTCCTGCTCTTCTTGTCGCTGATGTAGTCGCGAAGCCATGCAGGCTTCCAGTCGCCTGCAAAATATGCCTGGACCCTTTCTTGCTTGCGTTGAGTCCGACGCAGGCCACTCCCGCCACGATGTGCACGTTCTTCCGCGGCAGTCCGGGCGCGTGCAATCCACTGCCCATTCTTCCAAAATCCCACAGCTGGAGGCGCCGAGGTCGAGGATGAGTTCGAGGAAGTGTCCACTGTAGAACTTCTCCCCACATCCCCAGCCGTGGTGGAAGAGTTGTCAACCCGGCGTGCCAGTGGCTGCTTGTAGAAGGAGACCGGCAGGGAGGAACTCGACGATGCTCCCGCTGTCCAGTCTTCATCCCCCATAGAGTCTCGACTGGACGCCTCGGCAGCAGCTGCTTCGGCTGCAAGTCTTTCACGACGGCGGTTGCGAACGCTCCCGTCTGCATGGTGCCATCTATCCACGCCTGCACGAAGTTTGGAGCCCCGTTGAGTAATCCCTTGCACCGCTTGCTCATCATCAGGTTGTTGAGGACGACTCTTAGGAGTGGCCAACTCGGTGGGATCTCTGCCTGGATTCACTGTGGAGGGAAGTGCTGGGGTACGGCCTCGAAGAGCGCGTCGATCAAGTATCTGCTCCCACCAGTCCACGCGCGGCTCCGCATCCACACTTCCCACAGCCTCGAAGTTGTCTGGCTCGTCGTGGGGCGAAGTTGCTGTCTGGTCTCGAGCGCTGCCAAAAGGGAGAGGGAGGTCCTCAGGTATTGGAGCCAGGGCGCTATCCTCCACAAACTCCTGCACTTCAAGTTCCTGCATGGCGAGGCAGATGTCTTCATCCCACGCGGTGACATCAGGCTGGAATGTAGAGGGTCGCGTCGAAGGGCAGGAAGAAGTGGCGTCCTCCACGTCATCCCAGGCCGAGTACGGTGTCTGCAGGGCGAGCATCGCGTGGACCGGGGCAAGCGATGAGGAGGACGACGGCTCTCCAGGAGACCAGCTTGTGCATGTATTGAGTGCGAGTGGGCCTCCAGCATGTAGAACACCTCCGTGTACATTGTCCACCACAGACTGCGAAGAGACCGGCAGCGAAGGAGGGGCGCTTGAGGAGCAGGTTGGATCGGAAGTCACCCCACCAAACGCGGAAGACGTCTCTGAGGTCGTCCCATCCCAGGTTGTCAGCGGGGGGGTCGTCCAGGTGTCATCTTCCCATGCCTCAGCCTTCTTCTCTGCAATCTCAGCATCCGTCCATTTGCGCCAGTACTTGTGGCTGTTCTCATTGCCATCTCCGTCCATCCCCTGCGGCCGCGGTAGTACTGCGAGCACGAGAACCCAAAGACAAGGTCTCCCCACGAACACCACCATGGCCCGGAAGGAGAAGGGAGGTCGAAGAGCTCTGCGAGGTAACGGCTATCACCTGGAGCCAAAGGCATGTACAGGACACCGATCAACAACAGCGCTGAGATGTTCACTGCATGCTGACCTGCGCCACTGTCATTCGTCCACAAGCAACACAAATTGCAGGTGTTTCAAGTTGTACATGTCCCTTGCCGTCAACCAACTGCACTGCAAGTACTCATGAGGTAGAGAGGGAAGGGCCGGAACCAGAAGGTCACGAAGCACGTCAAAGTCTGCTCGAAGGACATCACAGAGTTCAGCGACATGATTCGAACGAAAGCTAATGAAGGTCCGCTGAAAAGGCTTGTAGAAAGTCAAAGTGCAAACTCAGCTCGAGGAAAAAGGCGGGGAGGGGCAGCCAACGAAACGGCGACGCCAGTGAAGCGAGGGAGGGCACCG